AACACCTCAATTAGGCATCGCCTCCGCGGACCACTGGTCCCAACACGATGCACAACAGTAGGACGAAAGGACCAGCAGCCCGCGGAGGCGATGCCTCATTGAGGCGTTCGTTCCTCTACCCCTTGAGTTGAACTCTCTTCATCTGGAGGTCATGGCATACAGTGGCAGAACCGAATCTTCCGACAATATGAGCTCAAGGAACAAGGTGCGCTTGTGCACTGCAATACTCCAAGCATACGGAGTCAGCCAAGTAGTGAAGTCGGGCAAGCTGGAACTCCGGAACGCAACGAAAGACAGATCAAGATTCGGAAGCCCACGCTTGAAATTCCCACGTTCTCAGGCAACTTCCGGGAGTTCAACAGTTTTTGGACAGCCTTCGAGCGACAGCGATAGACATCTTGAAAAAAACATTTCGATCGCTCTGCCAACATGGCAGACATACTCATAAACGAGATCGAAAAACTACTCAGGGCCTCAGATGATCCGAAAAATTGCCGGGACACTTTCAAAGCAATCAACTCAGGAATCATTCACCTGGAGCAAACGGGAGCAAAGATGAACGCAGACAGAATTTGGCGTCGAATAATCTTCTCCAAATTTCCCAAGTCCATTTGTACGACCGCCATCCAGAAAGAAGCGGTACAAGATGATCCATTTGATGTTAGGGAAATTCTGAACACTATCAACAGCATCATTTCATTACGAGAGACAATCTTGCTAACGACGAAAACTTTCTTTCCAACCGACTACCACTCGAATAAACAAGAAAATGAAAGGCTTACCAGATGCGAAGGAAAAGAACACTTTTCGAATCAAGACGCTTGTGTTTATGTGGACAACCACATTCGCCATATAACTGCCAGAGATACACTTCTCCAGATGCTCGGCGACTTGAAGCAACAAACCAAGGAGCGTGCTGGAGTTGTTCCGTAAGAAACCACGACTCAAACGCTTGTACGAATATTGGAGTACCAGTGCGTCACCTCTGCTTCGCAGAGGCTCGCACTGGCTATACTATCTATGTGCCTTGCTCATGCTTGTAAAATCTTCTCATTGGAACTCACCGCGCTATGCCGACTACCACGATTAAGATGTAAACAACTATCATTTAGAAAGTTTTTTCACGTGAGTTCGGTGATTTCGCGTGGATGAAACTTTCCGCAGGAAGACAAACGCAAATTTGGATAGTTTAAATTATTATTTAATTATTATTTAAAATTTATTATGGCTTGGTAGTCGCCATAAAGGCAATAGTAACCACGAGACATCTCTATGCGAAAATCTTCTCAAATGCTTGGCTAGAACCTTGGCAAATTGATCATTTACGCAACCAATCCTTTTCGGCGCTGTTTTCGTCATATAGTAAACTTTTGACCACTTTTCGGGCTAAAGTCCATCGCTTGCACATTTGCTTACCAAACACATCCACGACTTTGCAAAAAGTGGTGATACGCACCCAATTTTGCGGGACAGAAGCTAGGTGGACCCGTTTGGCGCGCAATTTCTGAGGGATCCACCCAACGAATCTACTCGTGCTTTTGCATGTTAGACTTTCATGAAGGTAGCATGCACTGTGCGAAATCTGGGCTTAGAACGATGGCTGGAACACGCTCTACGAATTTCGTAACAGACGGAAACACACACACAAGAACACGTAAACAACTCTTAGCCCGTCATTATAAGGTTAAATGCCAGGGATCACACCACGGATCCCTTTGCATGTCAGAAGTAAGACAACGCAGCGGATTTCCCGCGCACCGAGATTCTGCACTCGATCACCAAGATTCACCTACTTCTTGATCACAACATGATACGAACCAGGATCACAGCGAGATGACTAATATGCACGTCGTACAAGGCTTGCAGGCTGAACAAAAACTCCACGATCCAGACGTATTTGCACTAGCATTGCACTAGCACACAATCAGTGCGTTCTGCAAATCGCTTGGCCTTGATTTTTAACGAAGCGAAGTGGATTACCAACTAACGTGTATACTTTTTGACTCCGGAGCACAACGAAGCTTCATCAGATCAGAACTTTGCGAAGAACTCAAGCTTCCAGTCCTTCGAACTACCTTGTTCACTACATCTGGAATGGGCGAACAACAAGAGCAATTCAACTCGTCTGAAGTGCAAATCACTTTGAAAAGTCTTCACAGCTCCAAGAAGCTCAAGAAGTTGTCATTGCATACAAAGCAGAAGCTGACCACCGACATGCAGACGGCAAGTCTCACGAAAGCAGACTTACATTTTATTGATGACGAAAAGCTGATATCTGCTCAGGATACGCTCTCCCACAAAAGCCTTCTACCGGACTTGATTATCGAGGAAGACCTTATAAATCTTGTCACCCTTCGCGACAAGAAGGTGCTCAAGCTCCCTTCAGGGCTTATTCTGACTCCAACAGTCTTCGGATACGTCATATCAGGGATGATTCGCAACACCACTACAACAACATCCGTTGGCACTTTCGGTTGCATATCAACTCTACAGGGAACATCCCCGCCAACAAAACTAAACAGTTCCCTTCATCTAAAGGAAGAGGGAAACTATCAAGAAAAGTGAGGCAGACGCTCAAAGCTTCCATCTTCAATGAAGCTCAAGCAGACAGACAACATTGGCTGAACACAATCCGTTCCCTAACAAACTCTTCCGACAGCTCTGCGATGATGTCGAATGGAATGATCACCACGTCGTCGTATTTTAGAAAACAAGCAGAGACAAGGATGACGAAGGCATCATGGGGCAGGCATCACAGAAGCTCACACCTTATCAAAACGACGCCTACCGAGAAGATGGCCGTCAATCGTCAAATGTCTTCTACTATCAATTCAAAATCAACGAGGAGGAAAAAGCGACGACGACGAGCAACGCCAAAACGAAATTCGCCTCCATCAACCATCTCATCTGATCGTACCATTGTGCATTACGTAAATTGAATTAATTTCGAGTGAATGTCTACATTATTTGCAGCTGTTATTCATAGATCATTATTTTGCGTGTACAGATTTCACTAACCTGCTAGTCAACTTCACATATATCTAAATTTATCGAGATCTTACCAGATCTCACTTTCCTTTCGCTCGCCCGGAGTGTTGATGATTTCTGTATCAACCTTGATGAACTCTATATTCTGCATAGCCTACGGAGTCCCCGTGGGCTAAATGGTGAGCTACTCACTCTTGAGTATCTAATCACTCAAGAGTGAGTGGTACCCGTGCGCCAAGAGTGTAGCCAATCGGCGGCATCTCCTTTCAAGCACCAGCTCGTGTACATTGTACCCTGTATTCGGTTCAGCTCCGCCTTCCTTCGTATATAAGGAGCCTCCGAATGTATTAGAGGTTGCTCCCCGGTCCACACCGGGACACCTCGACATCGCTCTCTCAACTAATCTACGTCAGTGCGAATAAATCTATATCCCACTTCGTCTACCCCATTCACTTGGTACACACCAAACCATTATATTCGCTAATGCCTTTTGAGATATAATGCAAAACATACAATTACCAGCGAAACAAACTTTTGGGTGAAATAAGGAGGTAGCATGATGAGTTTACGCGAACTGATAGCTGCAATTTGCCACAGCCCAAAGAGCGGCTTAGGGAATTTTTGCTAGCAAGTTATCTTGTTGGTCCAAACCTGCAATGTAACTTTAGATACTTGTCATTCAAACTAAAAAGATTTTGTGGTTCTCTGGAAATCCTGCATTCAAGTGCTCGGAAATAAACACGAAATAAAGAACGCGTGCCTACAAGGATGGTCAATCAAGGTGTCTTTTGAGGTGAGATGTATACTGCCCTGAAGAGCATGGAACGCTTCTAAACTGGCTTTTTAATCTGCTGCGGGTTTGGAGAGTAAAGGAATCTAACAATAAGAACATTTTGCAAATGAATGAGCGCGAAATTAAAATGGATTTTGTCGCAAACATCCCAATGCGAAGGTCGACCAGTGACGATTGTTAAGCACTCCGTATGATGAATACGCTTAGTCTATGTTTACTTTTACTTCTTCCATCTCACTGAACTAGAAAAATTCTGATAATTGATTTTTCTCGTTGCTCATTTTCAGGGCTCGGCACGAGCTGGCACCGGGGAAATTTCAAAACGGTCCCGTTTGATCTTGAATTTCGTACGAAGTTCCCTTTGATCTGTTTGAGGACCCGTCATTATTTTTAGATTATGTAAAAGTGAATTAGGGTTTTCATGCATGCTGATTTCATGGAACAACTTTTCACAGCTTTCTGAGCTTTTTCATGTATTTGAACCACATCTTGAAAAGCAGAAAAGCCGATTTTTCGACTGCGAAGCAGGCCGAGTAATTTTCGGATGGCTATAAAACGCTGTAAAGAAAACATTATGAAATTGTTTCTTCTCTGTATGTAAACTTTTACGGTGTAGACACATTTTATGTAGAAAAGTATGAAAACTTATGTGAGCAAAGTGTCAGTGCCAGCTCAGCTGGCACCCAGCTGGCACGGTGCCAGCTAAGTCAGAAAAAAGTTCAGCACAGCTTTCATTCACATACGTTCTCATGAATTTTTGGGCCATAGTTCGGGTTCCCCAACGCGCATGCACACACTGGTGTCATACTATTGCGTTTTGGCTGAAAACAACGCCTTTGTTTGTTTGGTGGGCAGCATGCCGGTGGCATGCCGGCGGCATTCTTGCGGTTCTTCTCCACCCGAACGCCAAAAAAAAACGATATCCGCTTTGCTTTCCGCCCTAAAAACGATATCCAGAAAACTTTACCCGGTGCCAGCTGTGCCGAGCCCTGCTCATTTTTTCTGCTAGCACAAACCCTCGTAACTGTTCATCGAGAAACTCCTAGCAGATAAGGAAGACAGGTTTGGACTCAGCGTTCCATGGCCTTTGCGACAGTATATACCTCATTTTGAAAGACCATTCAGATTATCCTTCCCTTGTAATTCCACGTCTGAGAAAAACCAAGAATATATAGCGTACCTTTTAAGGAAGGATCCCAACGCTGTAATAGCGCGCGACCGGTTTAGAAGAATCAGAAGCCTTCGCAAAAAGGAAACATCTGCAAGTTCGTCAAGTTCCTTGTCAACAGCGAAAACACCGATGGCACGCATGAGATCATCATTCAATAGAATTAGATTTCGTAGGAGGAGAGTAGGTTTTTGTTTCTACAATATGATTCCAGAGATTCCAAGTTATTGTTCATGGTGACTAGAATGAAAAGTAAAGTAAAAAGTAAAAGTAAAAGTGACATACAGCTAAGAAGCAATTTTGAGTGCAAATTTTCGCACCCTTCTCATAACATCGGCTAGAGCTGACTTTTCGCAGTATAATCGTTAATGACTTACAAATTAAAGGCCTTTGACATTAAGTAAGCCTTCTCAGCGTTTGTTTGCTAAGAGTTCCAGGCTCGTAGTAAAGCTGCCTCATTCGATCTCAACTGAGGAATGCTTCAGTTGAAGCTTCGACGAGTCAGCTCTGCCTCAGTTGAACCATTGATTTATAACTCTAACGATCCACATCAGAGCCCGGGTGAGTCTTCTAGGCTTCTCGAAAACGAAGTCCCCCCCCTAACTTTCGCATAATTTTATGAAGTCCCCTTAGACCTTTCCGGAAACGTCGACTAACAAACCTAATAACTTGTGTTTTTTCGTTATTTAAATCCACAAAAAACGATATCTCCTTTGCTTTTTCCCCAAAAACGAAGTCCAGTCTGCTTCCAAACATTCTGTGCTAGGCCTTGATCCACATTATACAAGTCAAAACCCGTTCGCCAAACATTCAAAATTTTGTGATTGGCAGGGTTGAGCGTGAGGTCAGGCGCGCCCGATCTGGGGGTCGTATTGGTGGTAAGACTGAGGGGGGGGTCGTAGTCAAGAATCGAATTCGCTCAAAACTAAGAGAATACTACGATCGAGTAAGGTGAAGAAGAAAAGCTTTAGACCGATACATATCACAACTCCAACGGAATGAAGGAATGACTGTCATGACCAATATATTCATTGACTCTATTGAAGTTTCAGCCAAATTTCAATTCTCCATTTCTTCTGACACTACTAGGGTCACCAAAGAAGCTTCTGTGTAAATTGAGTATGATTTCCGTAATAAGCATATCAAATTACTTCTACTAGCACTACAGACCATCACCTATTATATTTCCTAGCGTTTTCTATCGTCTAAAAAGCCTGAAATTCAAGCATGATTAACTTAGTTGCAAATGTAAGAAATCAGCTTTTTTATACTTATAACAAAGTAATGTTCCCTATCAGTCTATACTAGAAATTAGAATTCATATCGCTTTCAAATAGTGGATTAGGAAGCACTGCCAATATTCCAAACATCGCGTAATTCACCTTGAGCGCGTCAACTCCGCGGATTACCAAAGCCAAAACAAGTTGAACTAAGCTCAAACACCTACTGTAGAATATTCGAGACTTGTGCTAGCGAACTACATAAAACTTGGATGAAAAAGCATCTTCGGGGATAAAGTTAAGGGGTCGGGCGTAACCCTTCAAAAGGTCAGGCCGCCTAACTTTTATAGCCTTGCGTCTGACCCCCTCAAAGGCAGTGTCCGGGCAAAAACGAAAGTGTAGAGTACAGGGGCGCCCGGCCAGGTAAGACTCTTGCCCAACTGGCAATGCACCAATTTGCTTCTGAAGCGAGAAAACCGCTCCGAAGTGGCGACCAGAACGCCCCGGCGACCGGGGACGAGTTAGTTCGATAAGCCAGAATGCGCATGCCGCACATAGTGAAGACTTAGGGTCCCACAAAGACTCTGCGTCTTAACCTTGGCGGCAGGCAACAAAATTCAAAGAGTTTCTGGAAAAGCCAGACGTTTTTCGACGTTTTCGTGCTCTCCGAGCTGCATTTTCGAAATCAGCGGGAAGGATAAGCTCAGGTAAGCGAAAAAAGTTTTATTTAAAATCTTGCCCGGACGCTGCCTTTAACTTGTCATTGAAATTCAGAAATCAGTTCAATCCTCGTATGAGTATTGAGCTCATAGCCTCTTCTTGCCTCTGTGAAAATTTGGAGCAAAGCACTCCACCCCCTGGGGAAATTCTGGCTCGTTCAGTGGGGCGATTCACATCAAAATCCGCCGTCAAATTGCTTGTACTTATAATGTGCAATCACAGAAAAGCAATCATACCGTCTCCTAAAATTCAGAAACTCTGCAGGACAGACTCTTTTCCAGAGTATCACACTCTGAGGTTCCGGAGATGAAGAGGATTGAAAGGAGGTCGTTTGGGGGCTTTCCTGGAAGGGATGGGTCGTTTCCGAACGACTTGTGCCTGACCTTTTGCTCAACTCTGGTGTTTGCGGCGGAGCTGTGGCCGCACTTGTTAAATCTTGTCGAAGATCGTCAGCTTGCACTGTGGCTCCTCACTCAGTATGTTTGTCAGATTAAACTGACGTGTATCGTAAGTTATTCAGGAGTACTTACGGAAATCTTCTCTAAATCTCCCCATTAGCACACTATTCGGAAGTTCATCACTCGGATCATCTCTGATGACTCGGCAGGGTGATCATATCCCTGCCGAACCTAACCTGAGGCTCACATGTCAGGTGACGTTGCATTCTTATAGCATGGGGAAGTGCTCAGATAATCGCCGGGGGTAGGCGGTCCGCAAACTCGCGCTTTTCTGCAGGCGGGCAGCAGATTTTGGGGCATGGCCAAACCTTCAGCGAGCGGTACTTCCTTTACTGTCTAATGTTCTGCCAGCGGGCAGCAACATAGAATTTTCTGCAGGCGCTCGTCGCTCGTCATTTTTCAACGAGCGCTGGTCAAATTTTCAGCTGGCGCTCGGACGGTTTTTAAGCAGTTTAGGGACGTCGAGCAAAGGTGAGAATCTACATGGCAGAGGTGTCATCGATGGTTTAACACATTGACGACCGAAGCCTTTCTCGGACCAGCCAACATTTTTTATATGAAATCACGCACACTTCCATCTACATCATTACACCTACAGTAGCGCTGGAATGTCAGCAAAAACAGCAGACTGTATCCAAATCCAGCATGAAAGAGAACTCCCGGAATTGGTTTGACACAAATTAGTAGCCATTTCAATTAGAGTCATGGTGCGTCGTCAAATTACTCAAGTTTGAGGTACTTTCTCTCAGCGGAGAGTACCTCAAACTCCTCCACAAAGGACCGTGCGGCCCTCGAAAATTTTGCATATTCTCACGGAAAGTCCGCGAGAATGCGGCCACTGTGCCGCAGTTAATCTATAAGGAAACCGCGATTGTTCTCCAAGCATTCGTCTAAAATTTCGCTAAAATTTTTCCAAATATCTGCAAGCGGACCGCAAGAAATCAGCGAACTATTTTTCCGGTGCCCGCCCGCCCATAAATCGCATGGCTGCCTGCCCCCGGCGATTACCTGAGTGGGCAGTCGTCATTTCACATGACGGAACTTCACATAAGGGCCTCAGGGAAGATCATCTCTCCTGACGAGCTTTACGACGGGCCTCATATGAAGTTAGACGCATTTTTCTGCCATCTGTATAATTCAGCCCTCAGTTACTTGACTATTTGATCTTACAGAGGCTACCAAGCTCAGTTTCATTTAATTGTAAGCACAGATGAATGTAACCTTCGCGTAAAGCGTTCAGAACATATAGAAAATGATTGTTTATCCCTTTTTTATTAAATCATTTCATGTCTACATTAGGTGGTGCTTTCCAAAATAAGTACCATACTTGTTACAGAGACTTCATGCACCATAAGCACATAGCATGTACCCACCTGTGTTTTTCGCTCTTTTCCTCATTTCCTACTTAAGTTTCATATTCGTTGTAGATAAAGCCATCGCTCCCCATTGTTATCATGAATAAACACTTAAGAGGTCCGCCTCTCTTGTACAGCTGCTCCATTTTTCTCAAAGACTTGCTTTTTGCTCAATTCAGGTCCTTTCATGCTTGCTCTGACTCTGCCTGCCATCGCAGCTTAGGTCTCTCTCCAAGTGGTCTTCTTCTCTTCGCCTTGCGTGTCCACACTATTGAAGGCATTTTTCATGTTCTTGGCAATCTGTGGCCTTCACATATTTCGTACTTGTCTTCGGGATGTGTTCAAGTATCGTGACTCCCGTACACCTTAGCATTCGTGTCTCCGATGTCTATTGTCGGTCTCTCCTCGTTGCAAGTACAGAGCCAGCATCTGCTCTCATATATGCCATTGGTCGAACCACTGTGCGGTATATGGTGCCCATCTGAAATGTCCCAGGTGTCTGTGTTCCTAACGTCATGTACTTCGCCTTTGTTGTGTTCAGCTTCAGCCAACCCAGCTAGCGTACATGTGTGCACACTTCTGAAGTTTATTTCTGCTTCTTAGCGTTAGGATCGCATCATCTGCGTACGTAGAAGCCTACTGCGGACGCCGTGGGCTCTTACGCACGTAGAGGTTGTGATCCTAACGGCAAGAAGTAAAGTCGTTTGTTGCTCCATGATGGTGATGAACAGGAGCGGCGAGAGTACAATCTGTGTACGTTGTTGTGTATTTCGGATTTCTTCTGATGGCCCCGCTGTTGTTTGAGCGAAGTGGTAGCGTCTTTGCAGATCTTTGGATTCTGCGTTCATGGTCTGCTGGTACCATGTGTCTATGCAGCCCACCTTGTAATCGCGGGTACTTTGTCGAACGCTTTCTCGAGATCCGGGAACGGGGCGGTAGTTCACATAGCCCTTCCCTGCCTCCTTTGACCAATGTTACGGCTAGATGGGTGGACGTTCGTCGTGCTGGGTCTACGAATCCACATCTTTGTTTCTATGATGCTCCGAAATCTTGTATTCATTTTTTGAAGATCCTCGTGTAGGCTCATCAGACGTATAGGCTGAAACAATCAGCAAGGTCAAGCGTGGGTTGTGGCACGCCACACCTACTCAGGTAATCGCCGGGGGCAGGCAGCCATGCGATTTATGGGCGGGCGGGCGCCGGAAAAATAGTTCGCTGATTTCTTGCAATCCGCTTGCAGATATTTGGGAGAATTTTAGCGAAATTTTAGACGAATGCTTGGAGAACAATCACAGTTTCCTTATAGATTAGCTGCGGCGCAGCGGCCGCATTCTCGCGGACTTTCCGTGAGAATATGCAAAATTTTCGAGGGCAGCACGGTCCTTTGTGGAGGACCGCGCAGCCACCAGTCACTTTCCGCTGAAAGAAAGTGCCTCAAACTTGAGTAATTAAACCAACGGTGACACCTCTGCCACACAAAATCTTACCTGTGCTCGACGTACCGAAACTGCGTAAAAAGAGTCCGGGCGCCTGCTGAAAGTTCGGCCAGCGTTTGCTGGAAGAGATTATTTGACGAGCGCTGCAGAAAATTCTGTATTGCTGCCCGCTGGCAGAACATTAGACAGTAAAGGAAGTATCGCTCGCTGAAGGTTTGGCCACGCCCCAAAATTCTGCTGACCGCTTGCAGAAAGCACGAGTTTGCGGACCGCCTGCCCCCGACGATTATCTGAGTAGCTTGAGTGACCTCACCCTCCAATCTCTTTCTCCGTTTACTACTTGGTTTTATAATTTTTCATAAAAATCATTTTGAAAGCTTTCCCTGCTTCCCCAGTTCTTTTTAGTAAAATTAAAAACTATAGAGCATTCGAAAAATCGTGACGATGGCGCTACCGTACACACTTTCGGTAAGCGCATTTTCTTGGTTCCCACCTCTACTCAGATAATCGCTGGGGGCAGGCGGGCACCGGAAAAATAGATTGCTGATTTCTTGCACCCCGCTCGCGGATTTTTTGCAAAGCAATCAGGGCTTTTCGGAAGACCGCTTGCTGAGTCAGCGGATTTTTGAGAGACCGCCTGTTGAATTTTTTTTCGCTCTTATCTTTTGCAGATATATTGCTGAATCTCTGAGGAATCGAAAACTCAGCAAGCGGTCTTCCGAAAAGCCCTGATTGCTTTCCAAAAAATCCGCGAGCGGGGTGCGAGAGATCAGCAATCTATTTTTCCGGTGCCCGCCTGTCCCTGGCGAATGTCTGAGTAGTCGAACTTTTTTCTGCTTACGTATGACAGTATTTAGACACCGGAAGTTACTGAGGTGAGGGTTGACAAAATGCCTTTTTGTATAAGTGTTTTAAGCTCATGTAAGCGCAAAGACCGAGTCAAATCCGTCGTCACGATTTCATAAATATTTAGAATAACTTTTCAGAATTTATGATTGGTTTTTGGAACACTAAATCCTCAGGAGAACTTAGAAAGTCTTCCTACGTAGAGCCTAACTCCTCACGCTCCTCCCCTTTTCTTCCCATTTGTCTTTCTTACCCTGAAAGGCATCTTTCTTTGTGAAATGGAACCGTAAGAACATCTCTCTAACAAAGTACCGTTTTCTAACTTTTTCTTCGAAAATCGGATCGGAAATCGGATCGGATCAAAAAATTGTATCCTACCTTTAAAGTTTCAAATGGAACATATACCATGTATGCATACCCAGCCATGACCGCAGCCAAAACGATTAGAAACGTTACCCTTTCCTAGAATGTCAATAAAGCATCATATTCAATATCACTCCCCTCAACTTTTCAGAAGCAAAATTGTGTACCGCAGTCTTTATAAAATTCCTTTGCATTTTCAACCATTGATTACATGGTAAATTACCGCTCTGCACCCTTTTATGTCAGCTGGTGTCTGCGTGAAGAGTAGGTAGAAAATTGGCAAGGCTTAAAAGAAGCTCAGACAAATGCTTTTTTCTTTATCAACATCCCCATTTACCTCTCTAGGGAGAAAACTACGTCCGTAGCTCAATATCTTAGGCCCCGGGCAGACTTCACGCGATTTGATCGTCGCGACTGAATCGCGAGGGGACAACTGTTATAACATCATTCCATGCAGATCAACTTGCATTCGGTTGTGATACTTTTCCAGACCGAAATTTTTGAATGTGAAATGAAAATGAATGGAAATCTTGGCGATTTGGTCGCGACGATTAAGTCGCGTGAAGTCTGACCGGGGCCTTAAAGCAATCTATTATATCAAACTGTGGCAAATGATAATCACCCTTGCTTGTCAGTGAAGATTGCAAAAGCAGGAAATAGACAGTGATAAGAGTGAAGACGATTTTTGATGATTTCTTAATCCATTAGCACCTCGTTCACCTTCCAGTGGAGAAATGATGGAAACTCCAGGATTTGAGGGTGAATTTGAAAAGAATAAAACAACATTGTGAAGATGGCCACATAGTCAGTTGCATATAAACGGATACTGAGTGCTAAAAATATTATTATTTTATTACTCAGAGGTGCGATAGTGGGAGCCGATTCTCCCCCTACCTTCACTTTTGAGCTGGTACCACCTTCACTTTTGGAATAAAATTTTTTTTCGCTGAACGATAAAGAAGGAAAATAGGCAAAACAAACGCAAAAAAGATTATTGAAAGCATATTTGCGTATACGGCGGCATATAATATATTTAAAGTAAACGTGTTTAGTAAATGGTGTATTTGGAAGTAAAAGTTAGCGGAATTGTACGGATTTTATTTAGTAAATTTTGTCAAAACGTACTGCGAAGAAAGTAGGTCGCTTCACGGAATAACCGCCGAAAACCAGAATTTTGAATAATAAAGTAACGAAAAATCATGCGAAATTTCCACTGCTATAAATGTTGTGTTTGAAGACGTCAGCAATTGCGGGGTTTTGAAGAGTAAGTAGTGCTCTATCAGAAAGTGAAAAAATCGAGTCGATTTGACAGATAGTCACCGAAAACCAGAATTCTAAAAAATTACGCCTATCTAGGCCCCGAACAGACTTCACGCGATTTGATCGTCGCGACTGAATCGCGACGAGACAACTGTTACAACATCATTCCATGTCGATCAACTTGCATTTCGGTTGTGATACTTTTCCAGCCCGAAATTTTTGAATGTGAAATGAAAATGAATGGAAATGTCGGCGATTGAGTCGCGACGATCCAATCACGTGAAGTCTGTCCGGGGCCTTAGCGTGTTTAATGACAGCTGACAATTAAACTCATATAAATCTTGAGTGTGAAAGTATGGATGTTGCGAATTCATAGGCTTTGTAGAGTAAGGTCTGCCTTATCAGATATCTTAGCCGTACCGATCCACTGAAATAGCGCTGAAATCCAGGGTCTTGAAAAAGCAGGTAAAAAAGCGTTTTTTTTGAAATTTAACAGCTCATAACTTCTCAAGATCTGCATGAATCACGTTGCGACTTGATAGGTTAGATTCTTCTCATCAAGAGCTTTCATACGGTATATAATATATGGAAGTTTAGGGCCTCCTACGACTTATGCCCTTGGGGGAGGCTTTTCATCACATTCTCCTCCCCACTTTGATGTATTGTATTGTATGTATTCTTCATCTCTGTTACGCCTACGCGACTTCCTTGCGTGATATATTGTATTTGCCCTTGTTCAGTATTATCGTAGACGTCTCTGTAGCTTTAGATGCATTTTTGCAATCATGCATCAGCGCGAAATAGTAAAAGATTCACCTTATACTATAACATTCAGATCCGCAAAGCCGTAAAATTCACAGAATAGAACTTGAGCGTAACTCAATAAAAATAACGCTAAGAATTTGTATATGAATTGATTGGTGGCCTCCCCTGGAATGTAGGAGATATCTCGCGTATTTATCACCAGCAAATCATCGTGCGTCCTAGATCACCCATTCTCTTAGCAGTCATACAAAATGGCATGCAACAGAAAACCAGCAATTTGTAACAATCCAATGAGTTCCGCATTGCGCGTATTTCAAAGAGTATAGCTTGCTCCACCGCGCTTCGGTCAAGCTGCATCAAAGCTTTACCGGCTGCGAAAGCTTCAGGCGGCGTAGTATGGAGGTCCCCTCAGTCATCCCCGAGTGCTCAGCGGCTTGATCATTTCATCTTGAGCAAGGCAACTTGACCAGACACGTGCGACACCTCTTTTAGCCGTCTGCTCGTGATAAGCTGGTCCCGCATGTCTCGCATCCCAGGCCACCCGGCCAAAGTTTTCTTTGAGAATATAGGCACAAGAAATATTTCCTTATTTTCAATCATCTTGAAGTCGTTAAACCATGATGGGAGTCTTTGCTTTGAGAAAGACACTAATTGTCGAGAGCTGTTGATTCAAACCTTTGAATATGTGAGAACAATCAAGGCATAAAATCCAATTGCTCGCGATGATGAAAAAAAAGACTGTTGCTTTTCTTCCTACAGAAAATTCTAGTCACTTTTTTGTATTTTATGAAATTTTTTCAGAACTATTTTCGTGCATAGTACCTTTTTAGAATGCTGTCAGCGAGAGGAAAGTTGATGAAGGGCAGAAACTTCAAGCTTATGAAAGGAAGTCTGTAAGTCAATTTGTGAAGCCAGTTCTACGTGTGTATAGTATGGATGCATATAGTTGAAGCAACATGACGAAATGAATTAACCATTGTCGGAATGTGTTTGGAGTTCTACTGTTATCTTACTACCAGTGCTTCACCTCCGCTTCGCGGAGGTTAGCACTGGTTCTCTATCCGTATGCCTTTCTCATGTTCGCTTGACAATGGCTTTGAAACTCACCACGCGATGCTGAGCATCACAAATGAATCGTAAACAACTGTTCATTCATGAAGCATATCCATGTAAGATCGGTAATTTTGAGAAAAAAAAACTTTGTTGCAAGGAAGTAAATGCGAATTTGAGCGGATTACTGAACTTATTTTAGTTTGATAGTCGTCATAAGGATAATAGTCACCTTGGGCTACATTTCAGTGCAAAAATCTTTTCAGTTTTTTTCAAATAAAACCTTTCCAAATCGACTATCTACGCGTTCATCACTTTTGGCGCTGTTTTCGCAAAAAAGCAAACTTTTTGAGCACTTTTTGGGCTAGAGTTCATGGCGCGCAAAGTTACTTGTCAGGCAAATCATAACTTTGCAAAAAGTCGAATTAGCGACCCAGTTTTGCGTGCCAAAAGGCGCGTGGACCCGTTTGACGCGCAAATTTTGAGGGACCCGCTTATCGTACCGGCTCGTTATTGTGCGTGGTGGGCCTACACGCTGGCACGGTATGCTATGCGAAATTGCAGCCCGGTAGCTTGGTTGCAGCTTCCTCTATGAATTTCGTGACAGACAGATTTTCACACAGACACACAGACACACAAAAAAACAGACGGCCTTAGCGCGTTATTATAGTAGGATAATATCTTTTAAGAACTGCCAAAGCGATGCGACGAGGGTACTCTCCTCCCCCATATGCTTCACCGTTGTGCTATGTATTCTCTTACAGTGTTAACAGCAGATTCGCGACAACGAGGGCAGTCCAGATTATGCGGCGACGAAATATAACTGCGATACATGAACTAACGCGGGTGTGCAGAGAAACGCCGAGAGAGTACTGGGGAGCACATGCAAACAAGGAGGGTCCACATAGTTTGCATAACAGCGACGTAAAGTTGACGGCGTTCGTAGTTAGTTTCCAGACTGTATGCACTTTGAGTGCAAATTATAGAGCTTGCTCCGCATGGATAGTGCAAATATGGGCAACAGTCGTCAAAGATCACCTCCTCATTCATAGACAAGCAAGAAGGCGATCAAGTGTGCGTCATGTGCAGAGCTCAAACAACAACGAAATATTGATTCCAGACCGAATTAGGTGCAAATGTATGACCCCCAATTGCTATCATAATTCGGAAAACTGTCGCCCATTCTGCTTCCTATCCTGCCTAACTTCTTACAATCATTAGTTTTCGAAAAGCACATTATGATTTTGAACAACATGAAGGTTAGAAAATAAGATAATATAACCTATCAATTTTACGGGGATTCGCTTAAACCTCACCTTTTGAATGCTTGTACAACTTGTGAATAATTGTTTTTGAAAATATTGTTTTTGCCTCTAGAAATAGAAAAACAAGGGGAGCTACGTCTCGTTGGAAGAAAAGAATCAGTCGATACATGCGGTAGTACATTTTCCTAAATTTCTAGGAACATTTTGCTAAATTTCTAGGATTAAATGCTTCTCACAAAAACCTGTTAAATACTTACTTTTGGATGCTTTTACAATGTGAAAATATTTTTCTTGCCTTTGAAAACAAATGAACAAAGGGAGCTCGGTCTGCTGAAAGGAAAGATCCAACAAATCCACTCGAAAACACATTTCTTCCAACTAGACCTAATGTGAAAATTCACAGAACTTGCTGCATTTGTTTTTGGCGGCCTCCACTTTGTAAAATCCCCACTTTTGCCAATAAAAACAACACAGCAGAGGGAGCTTGTCTTAACGGAAGAAAAGACAGTGTTCATGCGGCAGGAGATTTTTGATATGATTCTCTAGATTTCAGTGCTGAATCTCACAGGAAAGACTTGAAATTCACTTTGGCCGCTTTTATCTTGCGAAAACCGTATTTCTGCTTCAACAAGCATAAGTCTCGAAGAAAGGAAAGCTTCAAAGGACTTTATGCGGCAGCACATTTAGGCTAAGGACTTCTCAGTTTCAATGCTAAATCATGCAAAAGCTCGCTTGTAATACACTCTTGAATACCCAGAGGTTTCATGCGACAGGACATTTTTGCTAGGAATGTCCAAGAAAAAGCTTTGAGCAAGCTTTGGTCTCGCCTTAAGAAATGACCGTTTCTTGGCGAGACGTAATAAGGAGAGTATAGGACTGTGCATGATCCCGAAGCTTGATGTGTTAGCGGCCGTTGCACAGTTCCTGAATGTCAGCCTGAGTTTCGGGTTAAAAGCTGTTCTACATAGATGACTGCTGAGGTGATCTTCATGTTTAGTGTGGCATCTGGGTCGGGTACTTGCAAGAAGAACAGCATAGATGATTTGGGAGTTACTCACCATGAAAAGTTTCCTTGAGAGCATAACTTACTTCTACTACTGCGTACTTACGTTGCCCCAAGATCGTTGAGAAAATGGAAATGATCTTGAAATGAAATCTTGAAATGAGCCTGATCTTGCTTCCACTACTACTTGCACTGCGAAAAAGATCGTTGAGAAAATGGGAATTCATTCTCTTGTTATTTTTAGTTGCACGCAGACAGTTATCAATGTATCTGCCCCAACCCACTTGCTAGCGACCCGTAGGGTCGTACTGCCGCGGGACATTTTTGTTAAGACTTTCTTGTTTTCAAGGCTAGGTTATAAAAAACCTCTTTGAAATCCACTTCAAGCAAAAATTCTTGTGCTCTCAATAGCGGAAAAGTAAAGGAGCTCTGCAAGAAGAACAGCGTAGATGATTTGAGAGTTACCGTTGTAAAAAGTTTGCTTGAGAGCATGTTTTTACTCCTACCACTACATATTTACGTTTCGCCAAAAATCGTTAAGAAAATGGAAGTCCATTTCCTTGTCATTTTAAGTTGCACGCAGATAGTTATCAATGTATCTGCCCCAACCCACTTGATAGCGACCCCTAGGGCAGGTACTGCCGCAGGACATTTTTCCGAACAGTTCTTTCAAGGCGCTATTTTTAGTTGCACGCAGACAGTTATCAATGTATCTGCCCCAACCCACTTGATAGCGACCCCTAGGGCAGGTACTGCCGCAGGACATTTTTCCGAACAGTTCTTTCAAGGCGCTATTTTTAGTTGCACGCAGACAGTTATCAATGTATCTGCCCCAACCCACTTGATAGCGACCCCTAGGGCAGGTACTGCCGCAGGACATTTTTCCGAACAGTTCTTTCAAGGCGCTATTTTTAGTTGCACGCAGACAGTTATCAATGTATCTGCCCCAACCCACTTGCTAGCGACCCGTAGGGTCGTACTGCCGCGGGACATTTTTGTTAAGACTTCCTTGTTTTCAAGGCTAGGTTATAAAAAACCTCTTTGAAATCCACTTCAAGCAAAAATTCTTTTGCTCTCAATAGCGGAAAAGTAAAGGAGCTTTGCAAGAAGGACAGCGTAATGATTTGAGAGTTACCTTTGTAAAAAGTTTGCTTGAGAGCATGATTTTACTCCTACGACTACATATTTACGTTTCCAAAAATCGTTAAGAAAATGGAAGTCCATTTCCTTCTGCCCGAACCCACTTGATAGCGACCCCTAGGGTCGCTACTGCTGCAGGACATTTTTCCGAACAATTCCTTGTTTTTGAGGCTAAGTTATAAAAAAATCCTTGAAATCCATTTTAACCGCGCCTACTTCGCGAAAGTTATGCTTTGACAGCCAGAAGCAGAAAAGCAGAGGAGGCTGGTCTCAATAGAAGGACAGAGCCACGGGCTTCACAACAGGACCTTTTTGCTAGATTATCCGATAGAAAGCTTCAGCGAGTGTTATATCCTTTAGTATCGCTATAAAAGTGCCTTCATACCGCGGCGGCAGCCGCCGCTGATAGCCCGTAGCAGCCGCTGGCAGCCCGTAGCAGCCCGCAGTAGCCGCCAGCAGCCCGTAGCCGTAGCTGGCCGCTTTTGTCATAGAAGCGCAAAATTATCAAGTTCTTGGTATCTTAAGCGCAAACGCCCACGCTTTCCATATTCCACGCTTTTTCCTCCCTGTTGCGGTTAATCTGCAGTTCAGTTCACACACTACAGAGTTATTCAAGATAAGCACCGGCCAAGGATATAATTGAAGCAGAACCATGCATATAAAATAAACACTACAGAAACTGAACGCATCCAAAGTCAGACGATCACACCGCAAAGAAACTTTGGCGAAATATGGTTCAACTGCGAAAGGGAAACTGAGCACCAATAGGATAACCAATCTACGGCAACAAGATTCTAACAGCAGTGGCCACAAGTATGATATACGATATCGAATTGCGAAAACAAAATCGTACTTCTGCTTTAAAAAATCAAAAAGAGCAGAGGAGAATTGGTCTCAAAGGGAGGAAAGCTGCAGGAGCTTTATGCGGCAGTGCGTTTCTGTTGATAATTTCTCAGTTTTAATGCTAAATTATACAAAAGCTCGCTTAAAGTCCACTTTTAATCGCTTTTACTTCGCAGAACTCACATCTCTGCTTCTTATAACAAAGAAGCAAAGGGAGCTTGGTCTCGAAATAAAGGTTCTAAGAGCTTCAAGCGGCAAACATTTCTCCTAAGAATTTCTCGGTTTCTGTGCTAAATTATACAAACCTCGCCTGAAATCCACTTTTGACCGCTTTTATTAGGTCTTAAAGAAGGTTCCCGGGCACTTGCAAAAAAATTTTTTTCAAATTGCTGTGCAAGCAGATTGATTCCTCTTCAAAGCTACAAGCTTCTTTGCAAAGACAATTTTGTTTACTACATATATTTATCTTGCTGGCTTTTCAGCGTATCGCTGCTGTCCAGCAGCATGCGCAGAAGGGAAAAAAATCGACGCGAAAAGTAACCTATTTGCGCAGAATATCTTAGGCATAATGAGAGCTGGACAGCTCATATGCTGTAGTTATATAGAAGTCCAAGGCTGTCTTGGAGACTATTTACGCCTTTGAGCGACTGTCTGCAAAATAAATTCTTCGAGAAAGGTCAAGAAATCGACCATTTTTTGCCTCAAAAATGCACCATTTTTCGAGTAAGCGACTTTGAAGTCTTTTCGTTCTCTACACGAGACAGCAAATCTTTGATTATTGCGAAGATTGTTGGGCTAATGCCTTATACATCCTTTGGACCCAATGGCGATTCTCGCAGAAGCGATGTCAGCTGCGAAAATAGTTGGGCAAGTTTGACAGCTTGTAATTTCTGAGCGCAATCGCAAGACGAGTGCAGCTGCGAGTCAGAAGCTAACAGTCTCCTCGATTGGATCACACACAATTTGGACGAAAATCTACGAACTTCACGAAAAATGGTCGCAGGAAGAAAAATTGTAAAATTGTCATGTTAGAAGGCTTTCCTTTTTTGATATGCAGATCATACATGCTTTGGTGTCGATGAAAATTAGAAGCGGCTACGGAAAGAATGGGCTTTCTTCTACCGAACATTATAAAAACTCGGTGTCAAATACCGACGGAGCGGTAAAAAAATGCATCAAAAAACGAAATCTTTAACAGTGCCCGGACTCTTCCTTTACAACCTAATATTTCGCAGAAATTATACCTCTGCCTCCTATAACAAAGAAGCAAGGCGAGAGCTTGATCTCGAGGGAAGGAAGGCCTAAGGGCTTCATGCGGCAGTGTATTTCTGCTAAGAACTTCTCATTTTTAATGCTAAACTGTACAAGCTCGCTTAACATCCAATCTGGCCGCTTTTACTTCGCAAAAATCATACTTCTGCCTCCTACAATAAAGAAGCAAAGCAAACTTGGACTTGAGGGAAGGAAGGTCCCGAGGGCTTATGCGGCAAGATCAATGCTAACTTATCAAAAATGTTGTTTGAAACCCATTTTGGCCGCTTTTACTTCGCAGAAATCATACTTCTGTCCCCTTTAGCAAAAAAGGAAAGGGGACTTGATCTCGTGGTCTCGGTCTATGCGGCAGGACATGTTTGCTAAGATTGTCCAAAAGAAAGCTTTGAGCGGACTTGATCTCGCTTCAAGAAATGACTTCGCGAGATATTATAAGGAGAGTTTAGGACTGTGCATGATCGCGAAGCTCGATGTGTTTGCGGCCGTCGCACATTCCTGAAAGTCCGTCTGAATTTCGGGTTGTCAGCTTTTTGCATAGATGACTGCTTATACGATTTCCATTTTTGGGAGCTGGGGTTGGGTCTTTGCGAGAAGAACAGCGTATATGATTTGGTAGTTAGTCGGCTGTAAAAAGTTTGCTTGAGCCTGATTTTGCTTCTGTTACTACTTGCATTGCGAAAAGATCATTGAAAAAATGGGAATTCATTCTCTTGCTATCCTTAGTTGCACGTAGACAGTTATCAATGTATCTGCCCCAACCCACTTATTAGCGACCCTACGGGTCGCTAGTACTAATATCTGAAAGTCCTTTAATAGTCGATTTCAGCTCCGTCTGACATCTCAAGAAAGAGAGTTACTAATGGGAGATGACACGATATCAGGTACCGCACATTCTGCGTGAATGTTATGCATTGCTAATATGTTCTTATTCCGAGAGCGAGAGCATGTAAAGACCCATTTAGGCGATTTCGGCGTTACCGGTGACATGACGACAGCTGAAGGAAATGCCTTTAGCAGGAGACCGCTTGATGCTCGGCTGACGTGGTCGATGGCTGTCCTAGAGCAGGTTCACGTTCATTTCATGAATCTAATTCACGGAAGGGGATGATTCGTATGGCCGGCATCACCTTCTTAATCGCCATTTTACCTTGCTTGCAACACCCGACACGTGCGTCTCAATCTCAATCTTCGCCTATGGCCATTTTCTAATATACGGTTTTGAAAGAAATACTTGTGGCAACATTCTAGTATGCGTCTGCAGCATCTATGTGTTTGTAATAGTAGAGGTATGCATTCTGTTGTAACGTAAACACATGGACTGAAATGTATGTATCACTTTAGTCTGCAAATGCGAACAAATGCTTTTGAATTTTTATTGTTACGGATGATGAGATGAAAACTGGTTTTATGTTTTTACGAATGGTTGGGTCTAATTGAAGCTTTTATCTGAACGCTCAACAAGTCACTTTTTTAAACATTTTGGCTCGAAACTCCCTGAAAGATTGAAATTTGCACCAGCTGCTGGAGTAGATTCAGCGGGAAACCCTCCATTTAACAAGAGTTTTATTGGGTACCATGTCCAATAATGCTTGATGGCAGCCTTCAGGCGAAATCTATGCTTTCCCCATTGGTACCTAGTACAGGTGCACAAGCACGGCTTTTTTAACATTTACGTAGTCCTCCAGCGCTGCCCTAAAAGGGAAAAAGGACCTAGAATGGCGAAAGTGCTATCAAGCATACACACTCTGTTAAGCTCCGCCCTTCCAGTAACTGAAAGTCGTTTACGTCTTCAGAATAGAAGTCTGAAAGAAAGATTTTCGAAAGGTTTTGAACATTTTGCACTTCTTGTCAGAACCGGGCCACGGAAAAGCCCCAGGATGGCTAAAACATAGCCGAAGTTCCGGGTGGACGCTGCCTTCAACTACTCATGGCTAAACCTTTACCCTAAACCACAATGCACAATACCGATTCTCAAAAAGGAAAGGATCAATGACAGCTGATTTTGGCGAAAAAGAACAAGTTTTTTCTTTACTGCAGAGTTTGCTTAGGTTAGTTTTGAAAGCTGCTCATAGCGACAGTCTCTTGGTTTATTTCCAGTCGATTTGGTCCCAACTTCTTGAATTTTTGATGAGTTTTCGTTGAAAAATCGCAGTCTTGTTTTGTGCATTCATTCGGCAGGTTCCCTGATAGCGGCCGGCATCGATTTTTGTCGGCTCTCTGATGCTGCCGTTATCGATTTTTTTGAAAATGAAAAAAAAAACGAAGATTGCTCAGCACAGATACACAAAATTTGTCACTGATCGGTTCAGCCAAGTTGCGCTGAACGGAGGTTTACCACAGGCCTAACTCTTGCACCAAAAATTCCAGAAATTTCATGGAAAATGTCAGAGAAGTGTTTCAATCTGTATAGTACTTTTTTCATTGTATATGATCTATGCAGTATTTTATCGTATACATCAGCTATTTAATTCCATACAATATCAAAACTCGAAAAAAGACTTGAAACAACTTTTTGCAGAGACGTTCTATCCTACAAAGTCATTTTAATTGAAAGGCTTAGAATAAGAAACCCAAATAGAGAGTAAAATTAGAGGTTTTTGAGCCTTTCAGCATTTTTTGGGGATCAAAAGTTGGAAAAACGCAGTCTGAGTACTTGTGGATGACAGTACGGTTTTTAAATACAGGGTGTCCCAAAAAGATGTGCACACTGTTTGATTGCAAATAACTCTCTTGTAGTGAAGTGTTTCGAGAAGCTTTAGGTACCATTTTGTAGAGCGAGGTTCAACTTAGATTTACAGTGTAGAGCGAAACGCCGGTCTTTCATTCTTACTGTAGGAGTACGGTAGAAACTTCAAACATATGGTGTCACTGTGAAAAAAGGGGCCTTTTCAGAAATTTTCAAAAAAATGTGGAAATTTGTGTAATAGGGTTTTTATGGACCCTGAGTTCAATACCCAACTCTTTAGAAAGTTGAAAAGCTTTCTAAACGGTGTAACCGCACTTTTTAGGAACACTTAAAAAACGTCTGCTACTGTTTACCTGGCATAATTTTTTAATGAAGCATTAAGAAGAGTTGCAAACTTCACACTTAGAAACAGCAACTCTAGTTAGCCCAGTGTGAGAGTTTTCAGGTTGTTTTGGTTTCTTTTTGGAGCAAAATATGGCCTTTCATGGCTCAAAACCCTCTTCAAAGTTTCTACCGTAATCCTACAGTAAGAATGAGAGATCGGCGATCCGCTCTACACTGTAAATCTAAGCTGAACCTCGCTCTACAAAATGGTACCTAAAGCTTCTCAAAACACTTCACCACAAAAAAGTTATTTACAATCAAACAGTGTGCACATCTTTTTGGGACACCCTGTATATTAAACTAGCTGGCTTACCCGGCTCCGCCGTATGTTCCGAATAGAAAATTCCATTTCTTAACCGATCCGGACCAAACTTGGCACACATACCCTTCGGGCCCCGGCGGGTGTCACAGTCCACTTTTCGTTATCGATCGATGTCGATTTTATCGCTTTTTTGCAAAATTTGAGCTACGGGGCTGGGAGTTGGCAGAGGGGTGTAATCGAGCATGCCGATTACGAATACAATATTAGTTTTCGAAACCGTGCATTACTTTTATCGATTTTATCGATTTTTTGCAAATTTTGAGCTAGGGGGCTGGAATTTGGCAGAGGGGTGTAATCGAGCATGCTGATCACCCCCACGGTGGTGATCAGCATGCTCGATTACCCCCCTGTGCCAAATCCCAGCCCCGCAGCCCAAACTTTGCAAAAAAAATCGATAAAATCGATATCGATCGATACGAAAAGTAGCCTATGACACCCGCCGGGGCCCGAAGTGTATGTGTGCCAAGTTTGGTCCCGATCGGTTCAGAAATGGAATTTTCTATTCGGAACATACGTACATACAGACAGACAGACAGACAGACAGACAGACAGACATACAGACAAACAGACATTCAGCTTTATATATAAGATCATTCCAAAAGTAATTTCGTTTTTTAAGCGGGCGCCACATTTGGTGGAATGAAGATTTCTAATAGATCTTGATAGCATTCGAAACAGCATTTCATCTTCTATCTAACAGTAATGAAACCGTTACAGCGCAATCAATGAGCTTACGGAAAATAACCAAAATCTATGACCCATGCTTTTTGAAGGTCAAGTTTTGCAATTTTTCAAAACTTTCATATCAATTCTTAGAAGGAGTTCAAGTAACGATTCGATAGAGCAAACATTAGAGAATACAGTGCAGTTTTTTTCTCCTTTTCATGGCTCGCCGTAATCTTTTAAAAAATGTTTTAATAAAACATCGATTTGGCAGGCCTACATCAGCCACAATCGCCTCGAATAGTGCCCGAGCTGCTCTTCCTTTGATGTTCTACGGGGATTTAGCGGTCCAAGTATGAAAATCGGTAGCATTAGTCAAGATTCTGTTAAAAATGTATGATAGGCTATGGAAAGGAGAAAAAAATTGTTTTGCATTCTGTAGGGTTTGCTCTATAAACACGTTACTTATACTTTTTCGGCGGGTTGATGTAAAGGCTTAGAAAAATTGTAAAACTTGCCCATCTCAAAAAGCATAGGTCGCAAATTTTGGTTATTTTCTGTCATTGAATAATTTGCAGCAATTTCATAATCATTAGAAAGAGGATAAAATGCTGCATCGAATGCTTCCAAAATTTCTTGGAAATCTCTGTTCTATCAAATGTGACGCCCGTTTGAAAAAAGCGAAATTACTTTTGAAACGACCTACTAATTTGGGGCAAGGCTCATGTTCCAACGTAATAAAACTGTTGAGCTGCATGTATACTCCGACATCGCCTTGCCTCAGGTGCTAGCACGGTTTACAGTTTCGCGATGTCGGACCGTTTCGTTTAGCAAATATGTGAATATCTTCATTTCGATGTCCATCGTCAGGAAGAGACTAGCCTAAACTAAAAAAAACACGTTTTTTTACTAATATCTGTCTAGAAAATGTGCAAGCGAATTTTGATTGGCTTCGTACCTCTTTAAATTGCTGTTATAAGTGAATTCTCAGGACTTATATTTTTTTAGGGAGCCCTGTATACCTTAAAAACCTTCAGAAAAATTAAACGATTTAAGCCGCCGGGAGTTACCTTTATTGCTTTCAATTCCAATCCTAAGAAGAACAGGTACTCTTAATTTCTTGGTCATGCATAGATTAAAGTGCCAAAGGTTTCTCCTGTTTAGATACAATGATATACACTGTATGGACAAGACCCGCGTTATACTTCGAAATCATTCGTGCGACTACATTCATGCTAACTGGCTGACAAGCTTCAACGGAGTGAAGTTCATATGCACGCAGGTAAGGCTGTGAGGGAAGATAATATGGAAAAAAAACGAACCGCATCAAGGAGAACACAAATGTGCTTCATAACATTATGATTTCTACTTCAAGCTATCACAGTTCTTCTAAGAGTACTGCGGTCTAATTTTTGTTCAAAAAAACATCAATGAAAGCTTTTCCTCATCAATCAGTAGCAAAAGGATTGATGTGAGACTTTGCTTTGCAGTATAAGAGGGACTTTATTTCAAAACCCTTCCAATGCCTCCTTGTTGCGAGATCGAGCTGGACATACATGCTCGAAAGTCATCTTTTCAGCTCTTGAACTTCTTCTAGGCTCCTATGGCCAGCACTTTGTCAGATTTCTGGCATATGATCTTACAAGAAAATTGTCGTACTATAATCATGCTATGCCAGCTAGAAGAAGGTGACCTTTTCAGTAGTGCTCAACTTCATAATCAGGAAGTTTCTAGATAACAAAGAAAAATGTGTACGGTATTTTCCCGAAAAAGCTGAGACACCATTCACCGTTGACAATACCGTTGTTACCTTGATAAAACAAACGTGGTCTGAGGAGCATGGCATAATGACATCAGTATGGAGTGTCAGATGCAAGTTCGTGATTGTAATTATCGATGTGTCGTTACTTACAAGGGAAGGATAATCGGTGACAGTGGCCTTTTGCAGTGAGATACCCGTAGCTGGCCTTGAAACGCTGTTTCCAAATCTATGCTCATTGTCTGCTATGCGACTCTATGAACGAAGTTACGGACTTTCTCCATATTAATTTTGCGAGATCTAGGCAGTCAGAATCGTTCAGTATCCAGGCTTTTTAGGCTCTGATATGTCTGAGACATTTTCGTGAGCTTAACGTAAAGCTTTATTTTATTTGGAAGCTTCTATTTGTAGTGTATGAATATTCTAACAATATTGGTGGATCCTCTTAACAAAACGCAAATTTTGGAGGCAAGACACGTTTATAACTTCTTCGGAGAGCACACAGCACATACCGAAAGCATGTCGGGAATCAGCGCTTCAAGTTGCATCTAATAGTGCATGTTTCAATCCAAAAGACCACGGTCACTAAGTATCCTTCATTTGTTAGATACTAATAAAATGTTGATAAATCTCTTTCTGTCTGAAAGAAGCTAGGATTTAAAACTCATTTCTAGAAACGAACGGCAGTTCGATTGCAGGGAACGTGTGTTTGAAGTGCGGCACATACAATATAAGAAATGGCCGGATCACTCTGCTCCAAGTGACACCGTAGGAGCAGTCGAACTTCATCGTGAAATTCGGAACTGTCCTAAGGGGCATCCTATCGTGGTGCATTGTTCCGCTGGCATTGGAAGAACCTGTACTCTAATAGGTGATGAATATTCGATGCTTCCTTTACTACCCGTACGCTGCGTCAGCGGCTTTAGCAAATCCCAAAAGCCTGGCTTCTCAAATTCGCACCTCTTTGCAAAGTTGAGAATAAGCTCAAATCCACTCAAGTTTCAACACTCACTTTGGGTGTTGGATGAATCAACATTAAAGGAAATTAGTCAATCGCATTTAATGGAATAATTCCTTGCCCACATGGAAACATTCAACCTCATTTCAAAGCTGAGATTGAAGCAAGACTTCGTAAATTACAAAATGATAAGTCACCTTCGCTTCGCAGGGGCTTGCGCTGGCTCTACTAACCGTATTCCCTCCTTGCGCTCGTATACTGATGACTTTGAAACTTACCGCGCAAGCTGAGCATCACAATTAAATTGCAAACATTACTCATTTCTGAAGTTTCATCGGTAGCAGAACGTTCCTGCGGAAGAACATACTCGAATTCGAATCAGTTATTGAGCTTATTTTGGCATGAAAGTTGCCACAAGGACAATAATTATTGTTCTACATGTGAGCAAAAATCTTCCCAGTTGTTTACGTGCAAAATCGATGATCTCAATCACTTTTTTGCTCCGTTTTCGCAAGATAGAGATTATTCAAATCTTATTCTGAACTAGAATTCGTAGCTTGCACATTTACTGGTCAAGTGAATCCGCGACTTCAAAGCCTTGAAATCGAACCAGTTTTGCAGGCTAGAAGACGGTGATCCATTTAAGGCGCAATTTTTTATTGGATCTCCCTTGTACAATGCGTGCAACGAGGCCAGCGCCGCGTAGTGCAGTCACACATCTACGCGCGAGCGTTACCGTAGACGCGGCGTGCAGGGACCATGCTGCGCGCAACATCGCTGGCCTCGATTTTATCATTGTATCTTGTAACTTTTCCTTTTTTGTATGGCGTATTGCCGTTTTTCTTGCTTCTGTGCTCATATGCGATTTGTCTTGATACCAGATGTGATTTTTTCGCAGCTAAGGAAGGAGGTATCAAATCTTCGAGCGTTTTTTCTCAGGACGTCTTTCATTTCATCCAGGCCATCTTCAGATGGCTGATTCCGGATGTCATGATTCATTATATCGACTCTGTTTTAGTGGGCATAATCGTATATCGTCTAGGTTTGAGCGAACAGCGCGCTGGCGCTGTTTACTCAAAGTGTTTTTTCAACCTGTACGACATACGATTACATCTCACATATTCACCTTTAGCTGTAAAGGGGTGATTTAGATCTCATCTTTTTTCACATCTCAAACCTCATTTTGTCTTCCAATTCGCGCAGTGATACTAGAGAGACCTCAAGAAGAGCACCGAAGTAGCGTTTCAGACAGGAAAAGCTCATAAATTTTGAAGCAGGACAGCTGAGAAAAAAGAAAGCTAAGAAAGAAGAAGGAAAAGTAGCTAATTCAAGCACCACGCCGCTTTGCGCGGCATGGTCCCTGCCGCTGCAGCCGCCGGTAGCGCTCGCGCGCAGGTGTGTACCCTCGCGATATCATCCCATATGTCTTCCCTCAACATGACGTGGATTACGTGGCTTGATGAGGCGCCGCCTCGCCTCGGGCTTGCGCCACGTTGCGTGCGCATTTTCGGCGTGATGTGGCAACAAGAAGAACGTGGAAAAGCCTGCACCACGTTGTGTTGAGCGCCACGTCGCGCCAAATGATGGTGTTCGCAACGTGGCGCGAGCCTGAGGCGAGGCGGCGCCTCATCAAGCCACGTAATCCACGTCATGTTGAGGGAAGACATACGGGATGATATCGAGGGTACTTACCTATGTCGTGGTGGTGTGTCATGCAAAATTGTGGCTTCAGATCTTGTCTGCGGCTTGCATTATAAGTTTAAACGATAGATACAGGTTTTTAGACCGATAAACAAAAACAATGACTTCAGCGCGTTATCACAGTAGGATTGAATAAATGATCGAACATTGAAGGGGTTCAATCCATCGGGGAGTACCTCCTTGCCCAGATGCGACTTGTTGACATTGTACGAGTCCCTGCGCTTTATCATTCACAGTCTTTATGTCACATAAATAAGATATCAGCCCTGATGAATAGTTTTTTGGGCTACGCAAAAAGAAGAAAATTCTGAATCAAAGACTTGATCGGACAATACCTTGAGGTGACTCTTGATTCCTCATCACAGCTGTACACAAGACCATAATTATCTGGTTTTTATCAGTTTTCATTCTTTTCAGGGGTGGAGTTGCTACTGGAACAATCAAGATGGCTGAATTATTACTCAGGCAGAAGTATTGTCAAAACGATGCGGCGGTCTAGACTAGGTGCTGTTCAGAGAGCCATACAATTCTTATTCATGCACTATGTTCTCTTGGATCTTTTTTGCAAGGTAAGTTTTTCCTCTTTGCTCCAGTCTCGACATATTTATCAATCACCTATATTGGAAGAGGTTCCTGTGCGGGTCACACCTCGTATAGGCATGGACTCGCGCCCGCGATAAACGAAGCTTGTAATCGTCTCCTTTCTGTTTGAAAAGTAATCTGGCAAGTTTGGCCATGTCGGGTGCGGCAGGTGTCCAATCGTGCCCGATCTCGACAAGTCGGGCTCTGCTGCCCGTTTAGGCCAAGCACCCCAAACTTTCATAGATCATGAACGACGCTCTCGCCTGTCCGGCACTCGTTAATAATGGTCCGAGTAGTCTGATGGAGATTGATAAATACCGCTCCAGGTGTCAGATTTGGAAACGCCCAATATAGTGATCAAAAAGAAGAGTACTTGGAAAGAAAGCAAATTTGGGAGTAAGGTTTTTCGCCTGGAAACTGATGCGGAGGTCTGCTAAGGTCTGTCCAGGCAACAACAGGAATTATTCATTCAATGCTGAGAAATCCGTCCCCAAACCCTTCGCGCCTGATTTGTGACCGTAACCCGAAAGTGACTTCGCTCACATTTACACTACGTTCTATAGTTAGAAACGAATATTTTCAAAACATTCGTATTCGAATGATTTATTCTAACGCATTTATTTGATATTCGAGTAGACGAATAAATGAAAAAGACCTTTAATCAAAAATTTGTTTATTCGACGAATCGAGAAAACAACTTATTCGACATTTTATTCAAATATTCGAATAAACTGTCGAATAGACTACTGTTTTCTCGATTCGCCAAATAAACAAGTATTCGCTTAAAAGCCTTTTCCATTTATTCGACTTTTCGAATAGTCAAATAAATGCACTTTCTTAAATGTTCGATTTTCTAGTTCGAATAAATCATTCGAACACGAATACTCGAAAAATATTCGATTTTGAGTATACTACGTTCGGACCCATCCTAACTCGCTTGCGAGTTAAGGTCGCAATTTAGACGCAGAGTGATCGGGGATGGATTTCTCAGCCGTGAATGAATTACTTGCGCTACCGTTCCTGCAGTGCCTTAGCTAGGTTCCTGCAGTGCCTTACCCACCTATCAGATTCCAGGCCCAAAACCCATTCGCCCAGATTTACTTGAACTCTGCCTTCAAGAATGGAAATTAGACAGCGCTCTAGGTTGCAACTCGAAATTTCGTGTGGAATTCAAAACACTACTATAGCCGCGGTAGGTGCCTTATATGCGCAAAATTACTAATACTACTGAAGCCTTCGCTGGATTGCTAATAGTCATGTTCCGATGCGTTAACGTGCGCGTACGTACTCCTCAAAAGCTTTCGATTGCATTGTCAACAACTTCAGCACTAAACGTGCTCTGACACAATCTTGCACTAGTGCGCGTAATTCACAATATCGACTCATTACTGGGTAGAAACAATGCTCGTTCACAGAGAACTCGCAAAGCATGACACAAGTGATTCCTGCGCAGCTTGCGGCGTGCGCCGCTCCCGTCGAAAAATATGTCCTTCCCACCACAGCTTCGCGTTTTATCAATGTTCATCTATATCTGCTTTGCACGTCCCCATTTTTAGAAAGTATTCTCTTAGAGTGAGCAGTCTTCTTTCTGTTTGTCGCAGGTTAAATTGGTTGTCATAGGTTCAACAACTCTTCATCCAGGTTGAATTTGGTGCTCTAGATTTTATCAAACTTAATTCGCTCTATTAGTTCTCACTACTTATAGAACCGCGAAGCTGCGGCATGAGCATATTGTTCTATGCGATTGCAGCAGCGCTCGCCACAGTCTGCGGCTTAGTAACGACCGAGTTCTGTGTGTAGTGTACATCCGTTGACTAAAAAATAGAAATGTGTGCTTAGTTGCATAGCTTTTTTTCTAAAATTCTTGTTTATTTGATGGTGAAAAAAAAATGGCGCGCTTACAAAACACAACCAGTATGGCATCAGATGTGGGAGCATCGAGCATAGAGTTTGGCAGACCATACTTGAGGGTTCATATTGAGAGAAGAGGAAAGGGGTCTTATCGACATTATGTTTGCGACAACATTGATCCCTAAAAAGTCAAATAAGCTGTTATGTCTACTTTTCTAACAGAATCAACTCAGATTTTTTGAAAATTGAAATATTGTGTTACTATAACTCAAACAGACAGTCTTTCCGTGTACAATGAAAAGTACTACAATTAACAAACCTTTAGCAATTCATTATGCATTGACGCTGGATTCGTGGAGCAGCTTGCCCCACGAATTCAGCTTCAGGATGCCCAACCAAGAGGAAGCAAGCGACAAGCCGGCTGAAAGAAACTCCGTTGCATCAAAATGCTCTTTTATGTTCGGACAAAATATAAGCTTAAAGCTTGGGCGTTCCCCGGAGGCGACGCACACTCGAGCCCACGAGTGCGAACAGTATGCTGGGGCTACCGTCTCAACAGGGTGGGCGAGGACGGCCAAAGAAGCTAGTTTACCATAGGCACGGATACAAGTTCTCAGATAGGTTACGTCTAGCTACGCCTAACGTCGGATCTCACACAGCTCATCATCAGAAAGTAGCAGATCTCCTCAGAAGACGCAAAGTAGAAACGCCTGTCTTCAAGAAACCAAATGGAAAGGTGAAAAGTCACGAGACATCGGCGACGGCTACAAGCTTCTAGGAAACAAAGGAACAGGATACAAGGGAGCAAGCAGTAGTAGGAATGGTGTCGGGATAGTTGTCTCCGAAGCCCTGCGAGATAGAATCACTAGTGTAGATCGGATAAACGACCGTCTGATGAGCATAGGACTAGATATCGGAAAAAAGAAGCTTCGAATAGTAACAGCGTACACGCCACAAGCAGGTTGCGTAGAAGCTGAGAGAGAAGAGTTCTGGCAAAAGCTCGACGACTACATGAGTGTCATATCACAAGAAGGATGCTACTGATTTTAGCAGACCTAAACGGGCACGTAGGAGAGCAATAAAGTGGCCTTCAGAAGTGTCACGGAAACCACGGATACGACGTGCTTAACGACGAAGGAGAGCGTATTCTGAAGTTTGCAACGGCTGACCACAGATAGATTTCTGGACGGTACGACAAAATGAGCTCAAGTAGGTAAGAGATAGCAAAGTCATTCCCGGCGAAGACTGCGTACCTCAGCGCAGACCGCTACTTCTAAACTTGAATATTCCCATCGACACAAAGAAGAGCAATGACGAAGGTTAGGGAACGCATCCAATGGTGGAAGCTCAAGAACGACGCTCAAGCCAAAGCAGCAATGCAGTCGGCCCTGCCAGAGATGGAAGAAAAACCAGAACATTCGTGGACGCATCTGAAGAACAACATCCATCAGATGGCAAGCAGGCTACTGGGACGCATGAAACCCAGAAGGCCGAAGCTCGAAAAGGAAACGTGGTGGTGGAATTCTACCGTACAAGAGTTTATCAAGAAGAAGAAGATGGCGTATAGAGCATGGCAGAAGTCAGGAATAGAAGAAGCGCGTCAAGAATACCTGAATGCAAAGTGTCTAGCTAAGAAAAGTGTCAGAGAGGCGAAGAAAGTTCATATGACAGATGTCTACAAGAAGCTGAACACTCGAGAAGACGAGCGCGAGATATACCGAATTACAAAAAGGAAATCGAGAGCCGCACAAGACACGGATCACTTCTACAATACCAAGGATGTAAACGGAAGAACCCTAACTCAGACAATCGCCGGGGGCAGGCGGGCACCGGAAAAATAGATTGCTGATCTCTCGCATCCCGCTCGCGGATTTTTTGGAAAGCAATCAAGACTTTTCCAAAGGCCGCTTGCTGAGTTCTCGATTCCTCAGAGATTCAGCAATATATTTGCAAAAGATAAGAGCGAAAAAAAATTCAACAGGCGGTCTCTCAAAAATCCGCTGACTCAGCAAGCGGTCTTCCGAAAAGTCCTGATTGCTTTCCAAAAAATCCGCGAGCGGGGTGCGAGAGATCAGCAAACTATTTTTCCGGTGCCCGCCTGCCCCCGGCGATTGTCTGAGAAGGCAAGGGACATACCTCACGCGATTTCAGTCGCCACGCGATCTGGCAATTTGCCATATGTCTTCAAATTCAATACTGGGAGACCTCAAATGCACAGCATGTATAACTTTCGTAGGTCGATAAAATGCCCCCTCTTCCGTTCATTCAGAAACCCCGTAGGATGAGTTATGAACATTTGCAGTATTGCCAAATCGCGTTGCGACTGAAATCGCGTGAGATATGCCCGAGGCCTAAGACCAGAAGAGATGAGTGTGCGATAGCAAACACACTTCGAAGCAATCGCATCTACAAGCTACGAGAAGTTATCTAAATAGTAGCTGATCCTGTCTTAGGGGTGGTTCCCGGTCTTCCTTCAAACATTTTAGGTCGGCCACAGTTGAAATTGCTAGGCAAAAACGCAATCGAGGACCGGTAATGAAGATCACATAAGAAGAAGTACGTAGCGCCATAACGAAGACGAAAAGCGGAAAGGCAGCAGGTCCGAATGACATCCCCAGCGAATTCTGGAAGGAGTGTGGGCAAGCTGGAGTCACTTGGCTAACGCGACTACTCAATCAGATAGTAGAATTCAAGAAGAGAAGAAGTAGAACAGAAGACAGAAGAAGAACGATACCAAACGATACCAAATGATACCAACGATACCATACAAGCACAACGATACCAATATGGAAGAACAAGGGGACATAGCGGACTGCTCTACGTACCGGCCTACACGTCTCATGAGCCAGCTGAAGATATTCGTAAGAATACTGGAGACGAGACTTCGAAGCATCATAAAGGTGGCCCCTAACCAATGTGGATTCGTGAAGGGCTGTAGCAGACAGACGCCATTCACACAGCCAGAATAATGATCGAACAAAGCAGAGAAAAGCAATGTCAATTACACGCCGGTTCCTAGATCTCGAGAAATCATTCGACAAAGTACCACACGAGATAATATGGTACACTGGGCACTGCGCAGCACATGGTGCCAGAAAACTATGCACAAGGGATCCAAATGATCTACAAAGATGCC